TTAAAGGAAATCAACCCTGATTGCTCATTGGAAGGATCGATAATGAAGCTCAAGCTCAGATACTTTGGTCACCTAATGCGAAGAGAGATCTCTTTGGAGAAGACCCTGATGCTGGGAAAGATTGAAGGCAAAAGGAGAAGAGGACGGCAGAGGACGAGATGGTTACAGAACATCACTGAACAATGAGCATGAAACTGAGCAAACGCAGGGAGGCAGTGAAGGACAGGAAGGCCTGGCGCAAGACGGTTCATGGGGTCACGAAGAGTTGGACACAACTTAACGACTAAACAACAACAACAACAACATACTTGGGTAGAAGGATATGTCTGAGTGGGCTCACTAGGGATGACAGGATGTCAGTTTAGGATGTCAGTTAGGAATGGGGAAAACCAAGAGAAACTCTGCAACCCCCACCATCATTTTCTGCCCATCTCTCAGTAGTCCTGTGTGTGGTTGCTGGACATACATGCTCCTGTCATTCATAAAACTCTTGGAAGCAAAAAACATCTAAAACACCATGACAGGGCTATTATTTCCTGATGCATTTTGTAAACCAGGAAGAAGAAAAGTTTACTCACATCTGCATAAATGTTTGTGCCATATACTGGAGCCCAGTAGGTTGGCTCATTTTTGCAGTACGCTGGACAGTAAGACCTGAAAGATGAAACACAGAGATGAAGAGTAAATACATCCAGGATTTTTCCAAATTGGGAGTTTCAGGGTTGGTCCACCACCCCATGTAGCAGTCTTGTTGGGTCAGCCCAAGAGCAGTGGCGACTGGGGAAATGATTTGCTGATTTGAATCGCTGGTTTAGGAGTAAGTACAAAATGGTCAAGCAGGGAATGGAAAAAACACCCTAACTAGGAGCACTTGGAGGCAATGCAAAGTATCTCCAATATCTCCATCAGCTTCATCCACTGTAGGTCCCAAATGGCCAACAGCATCTACTGAAGTCCAACAATGAGAAGTTCTACCCAGTCAGCAACTATGCATTCCCACATGGACCTGACTGAAATGTCCTATCATTAGGCAGCATTTTTATTTCTCAGTTGCCCAGAAGCAATTAGATTTGTTGGTTTTCCAGCAGAAATTATCTTACTCGTAAATATTTTGTAATTCTGTGCAGCTTCAATGCGGCTCATCCAACAGAAATTCTGAGCAAATCATGTCCACAAGTCTACGTAACTATGGTCCACCATTTACCTTGGGCAATGAGTAGCTGGCTTCTTGAACGGACACAACTCCTCTACCGTGGTGTAACAATCCAAAGTCTGCACTGTGGAGTTAAACATACAAGAGATGTATGAAGTTTGGGTTTTCTTTTTCACTGTGGTCAAAGGCCAAGAATATACAAACCCCAAATTAGTAAAATTAGAAAAAAAATGAGAGATACAATAAAAAGTATTAATACCAAGCAAACATCTCAATACAGATTCTATAGGTCAGTGAAGATTTATATACAATGAATGAATGAATGAATGAATGAATGAATGAATGAATGAATGAATGAATGAAGCATGGATGTCTTTATAAAAAATGTAAATAAGAAAAAATGAGCTATTGTTTGCATAAGGCCCATCCCTCATTGATCTATAGTTCCCTCAGGGCCCATCTCAGATGGACAAAGCCAATTTTCCCACAACGTTTTCTTACATCTTCTTTCCAGTAGAGCTGTTGGTAATGCATTAAAGTGTGCTAACATCATAGCTCATGGGGTGGAAGGAGACATGTGAAACAGGTTTCTTGTTCACGCACATGTTGCATCCTGCAGCATTCAAGAACTAACTTGAAGTCTAAACCAGTTTACCTGGTATGCTAGGCAATGGAATCTAGGTACATGTTAAAGTTGGCCCAATTCCCTGTTGTGGAGAATTAGAAAGCCAGTAAATACTGCCATCTAGGACAGTTTAGAAGGCAGGGGAAGAATTAAGGCATTTTCAGGGAAGGCATTAACCAGTTGATCCTATGAGGATACTGGGTATGGATACCATCTTTTCTTCAAACAATTTTGTACTGCACAGACACTTCAAGATATTTCTTCTTCTTTTTCTTTAATCCTGGAGATCTGCCAAAATTGCAGGAAAAGGGTTTTTTGTTTTTTTAAATCTACAACTTTTTGAAGTAGCCTCATTTTTCCTGTAAAACTGCGGGGTTCCTCCTGGCTGAATTTAAGTCAACTCCAGACTTGAAGTGGCTCTTGATGGCACTACTTCTGAAATTCCTTGCTTTTAATTCTAATGCCTTTGTTCAGACAAACAGAAGCCTGGCTCAAAAGCGAAATGAAACTGTGCTGTGTTTTGCCTGGATCATAACCATAACTGGGTGGACAATTGTTCCATTTGGGGGGATAATATCAATTCTTTTTTCTTTTTTTTTTTCTTGAAGATTTCTTGCTTAACTCTTCTTGCCCTTCTGAAGACTTTCCGATGCTTGTCAAAACAAACATCTCAGTGGTAGAAGAGAAGGAAGAAAAACCAAGAGGAAGAGATCTTTTTACTTCAAAGTAAATTGCTAATTGGGCTGTATGGTGTGTTATTTTTATGTCTGCTAGTTGTTTTAAATATGTCATCATTTAGCTGATCACTTTAATGTAGAAAAACCTAGGCTTGTGGAGGAATGTCATAAAGGGCTTTGCTTCAACAAAGGTTCACATGAAACCTTTCAAGACCACTTTGCAAAAATGCCTTTCCATCTAGGATGCACAGAAGCCACTTTGGGTTACAGGAACTCCTAGATAAGGCCCTACGGGGACATAAGATCCTCACCAAGGCAGGAGGCAGCTATGTTGCACAGGGCTAATATTTATTATTCAATTTCAAATGGTCACAGCAGGAAAGGTACATTTTCCAGATTAGGAACAGAGCCAGGGCAAGACAAAAAAGCATTAGACATCACTTTATAAAATGAATCTCTTTCTGGTGCCTTTGAGTCAGTCTTGGTAAGGACATGAACCAATCCGTACAGTTTTCCTGGCAACGTTTTCAGAAGTGGCTTGCCATGGCTGCCTTCCTAGGGCTGAGAAAGAAGGGCTGGCCCAAGGTCATCCAGATGGCCTCCAGGCAGTAGAACTCCAAGCTTCCTGGCTTCTAGTCCACCAGCTTTAATCGCTAGAGCAAACTGGCTGTCAGACATAATGTGGTCATCTTTATTGTGATCACAGACCGTCAAACTGACTATTTAATTGGGAGGAGCTGTTGATCCCTGTAGGAACTGGGAGTACTGCTAGCAACAGCTTTCTAGCCAACTCTTTCTCACCTGAGAATAAGTAAAACCCATCAAGAAGAAAGAAAGCAAAAGAAAGGTCCTTCCTTCCTTCCTTCCTTCCTTCCTTCCTTCCTTCCTTCCTTCCTTCCTTCGTTCCTTCCTTCCTTCCTTCGTTCCTTCCTTCCTTCCTTCGTTCCTTCCTTCCTTCCTTCGTTCCTTCCTTCCTTCCTTCGTTCCTTCCTTCCTTCCTTCGTTCCTTCCTTCCTTCCTTCGTTCCTTCCTTCCTTCCTTCGTTCCTTCCTTCCTTCCTTCGTTCCTTCCTTCCTTCCTTCGTTCCTTCCTTCCTTCCTTCGTTCCTTCCTTCCTTCCTTCGTTCCTTCCTTCCTTCCTTCGTTCCTTCCTTCCTTCCTTCGTTCCTTCCTTCCTTCCTTCGTTCCTTCCTTCCTTCCTTCGTTCCTTCCTTCCTTCCTTCGTTCCTTCCTTCCTTCCTTCCTTCCTTCCTTCCTTCCTTCCTTCCTTCCTTCCTTCCTTCAACAAAGGTGTAAAACGTTTACCACCTAAGAATTTTAAACCTTTCGGTAGATACCTGCCAGATATAGACATCACTAGAAGTGAACTTAGCCAAATAAGCTTTTCTTGCTCCTTCCCATTCTTCTCACAATCTCTTCTCTCCCCTCTTCCTTTCCCTTTCTCTTTTCATTACAGGTGTCCAAAACATCCTGAGCTGAAACTAATCCCAGCGCGGAACAGCCGTTTCAAGAGTTCTGGATGCAGAAGAAAATGCTCCTTAGGTATTGTATATTGATTCTCAATCCTTTTGGCCAGCATGGCCTCAGCATGGACTAACTTATTTCAGTGGCCATAAAGAAAACGAATGGCTTGTTTCAATTTTGCTTATTTCTTACAGTTGTACACTTCGAGTGTGTTTCACTGAAAGGCAACCACCTCAAGTAAAACCTTTATTATTATTATTTTATACATCCCTTCCTCTCGTTTTCTCACTCTTCTATTTTTTCCCCGTTTTTCCTTTTCTCTCCCCTTCTCTCTCTCTTCCATCACGATATCTCCCTCTTTATCTTCTGACTTCCATCTCCTTTTCTGATTGACTAACAATTAGAACAGGCTTTAATCCATGGAGATTCTGGCGGTGTGGCAAGTATCAATTCTCTCAGACTAATCTTTCTTCCCTATGAAGAAAAACGTACCTGTGACCTTTGACACAGCAAAGGCGTTGGAAGGTTTGTATTTGCTGTGGAAGAAGAAACAAAGTGGTATGAATTCAATGTTTAAGAGTGCATTCCAAAATCAAGTTTCTAGATAACATTACAAGGGACAGACTAACAGGTTTAGATATTGTTCTCCACTTAGGTGTCCTCCATTCAAGCAGAGTTTCAACTCTTATAATTCATGGCAAGCAGAACCAAAGATGCAGCAGATCAAGGCTAGAGACTTGACATGAGTCAGATTATTTTGTACGTAGGAAACTGAATTACCTGAATGATTCAACGCTGTTTCTTATAGACTTTACGAAGAAGTCTGTCCTTCCTTTCCTAGTGATATCTACTAAGCCTCCTCTGTTATCTAATACTCCAGAATGAATTGCTGCCCGACATATGCTGGATGACTGCAAGGAAGGAAAGAAGGAAGAAACCACTTATAAAACCGTACAGGGCTGTGTGCAGAGTATGATTTTAAAAAAAAGGCAAGATGGTGAAACTGTACAACATTTTTGCCATTTTAGGTATGTATGTTTTTTAGCCATTGTGTAAAAGCCTGTAAAGTCACTCAAGGAAAAAGCTTGCCATAGCAAATGTAGGGAACATAAGGAGACGGTTGAGTTCTCTGATTATATTCCCAAGTTCTGAGATATCCATACAGTACATACCATACCTCAGTAATGTAATGACGTTATAGTTATTTTTCCACAGTTTATAGGTTGGACTGGAATGATTGCAAATTTTATACTTCTAATGTTATGTTATGTTGGTCAATGACCAAAACAAAGATTTTGACTTTGAAAATCAATAACCCTGAAATATATATATATATTTGTTTGATTTTTGTTCTATTTTTATTGTATTTTATACTGTTTTTACTGTATTTTAATATTTATTTCTGTTTTATTGTGAACTGCCCAGAGTCACTTTTTGTGAGATGGGCAGTATCTAAATTTGAAATATATATATATATACATAAATAAATAAATAAATAAATAAATAAATAAATTTTTAAAACTTACACTCTCGTAGTTGGACATTCCAAACACTTTTGCCTTACTGTTCAAGCAACCAGCTGGGCACAGATACCTGGCCAAAGAAATGGGGATCATTAAGGAATATTGGAAGCTGCCTTAAGAAGTCATACTGTTGGTCGAGAGCCACCTTTCTCCACCTGGTGTTCCCCAGATGTTTGGGACCTCAACTTCACATCAAAGGCCAGACTGAGAATGATATACCATCCCCGGTATAGATTTTAACAGTTCTTTCTTTAAGAATTCTCAGCTAATGTTTGAACTGGATTCAGTTCAGTAAACTGTAGTGTAATTAAAAGCATTACATAGATGCAGGGTGGATGGTCCATCTGAGATGGATAAACATTTGTCAAAGGAGAATGGTGAAAGGTTGGTGCCAATATACAGATCGGTACCATAGGACAAACAATGGGTCATTATAGGTTTTTGGGGATAGACTGAAGCCCCTCTTTCAAAGACCTGAACGGACTGTTTCTACATGACTATTGGATTTATACGACATCAAAGAGAATGTTGTGAACATGTATTTGAACATTGTCACAGGTCAAAGGGTAAAAAGAAAGAATAAATCTGGAGTACCTGTTACATGTGGATCCTCTGCATTTATCCCTCATTTTGGTGTCACACTTGATCACTTGAGCTAAAATAATGAGAAAATACAGAGTTGTGAGGGAAGTATTGTAACAACAGATACTACCTGCAGCCCTTAAGTAAGATTATGCAGAAAAAGCCAGATCTAGGAAATTTAAGAGGAGGTCTTTCTTTCTTCCTTATGAAGTTTCCAGGTTGGGCACCAAATTCACCTAGACTTCTTCTGAATCATGTGATACAGGTAGTCCCCAGTTTAAGAACAAGTTCCTTTCCCAAGGTCTGTTCTTAAGTCGAATTTGTATGTAAGCCGGAACAGTATTATTGTATGATGTTGTAAAGTAGTTTTAGTATAACATTATTATTATTATTTTATTATTCTTTATTTCTTGG